CCGTTGTCATGGGCTCTTGACCGGGGAGGCTAACTTAGGCACACCGCTAAGTGGGGGGATGCCCCCAGAGACATGGTCAACAAGTCGTAGGATAAAAAGAGACGTTCGATGTGGGCATCGAACTTCTTCTATGGGTGGTGGAGTTGTAAAGAACCGACTCCCTGAGATGTTGTAGGCTAAAGGATCCCCGAAAGCTTGACCGAAATGACAAAGAGTTCATCGGATGGGACCAAATTGAAGATTGAGTCCAAGACCGACTCTGAGACCGAGTTCGAGATAGAGTCAGTGATCGAGCCAAGGCCGAATCGGAGACCGAGATCGAGACCGAGTTCGAGACGGAGTCCGAGATCCAAATCGGGTCCGAGACCGAGTCCAAGGTCGAGTCCGAAGTCGAGTCCGAAATCGGGTCCGAGATCGGGTCCGAGATCGAGTCCGAGATTGAGTCTGAGACCGAATCCCGACCTCTGAATCTAAGACTAAGTTCAAATACTATATAGGGTCAAGGGGTGAAAGCCCAAAGCGTGCGTCTCCCGGGGGGGGGGGGGCTGCAGGGGGTTCCAAAAGTATAGTAGGGATAGTGAGGTCCAGGAACCAGTCTTGAAGGAACTCTTCAGTGGTGCTTCCAAACTGACTTGAGGTTGAGACTGGGGCCCAGGGGCCTTGGGTGGGAGTGAGCATGGGCTTGGGTGGTGCCGGAGGGGCCACCCAGGGAAGTGCTTGAGAGCAGCTCCCACTCCCGAAAGGGAAACTGACTGCGGTGCTCCCAGCTCATGTGGAGTGGTGCCCCACTTGAGTACCTTGTGGCTTATTGGTCCTCGCCCTTCCTAGAGGCTTGGGCCTTCCCTTCGGGATGGAAGTGCGGGGGTAGAGGTACCCATACCGGGCCGTTAGGCCACGGTGTTTCACCTTGATGTCCCAGAGCAAGTGTTGCACCCAAGGCTTGGGATTTAGAGGGTCCCATGATCAAGTCTTGTTGTACCAAGGGGTGTTAGGAACCTAGAGGCTTGGTGTGCTTCACTGCTTGTGCCTGTGGGGAGTGTAGCCGAACCTTATGTCCAGTCTAACCCAGGGAGGGGGATTGGGAGAGATTTGGGAATCCGTGGATGGATGGCTAATGTTCCGTTGCTTGTGCAGTGAGTAGCTGAGACCAAGTAGGACCAAGTAGGAGCTAGTACAATAGGCGGGAACCTTGGCAAGGGAACTTACCACAAGCCAAGGCAGTGTTGGTCGGATAGACGAGGTAAGCTGGCAAATTGGAAAGGAAAAATTTGTGGCTTACAATTATCGAATGTACATGAGTTGAGGGCATTCTTGGGGCTATGCAACTACTACCGAAAGTTTATTAGACACTATTTGAGAGTAGCCCTGCCCTTAATGGACCAAACAGGAAAAGGGAAGATGGTATGGACAGCAGAATGCGAGATGGCATTTGTCCACCTCAAAGGGAAGTTGAGGAAGGCTCCCGTGCTGGCATTACCAGACTTTGGTAAGGACTTTGAGGTAGAAACGGATGCTTCGGACTTTGCGTTGGGCGCAGTTTTGAAGCAAAACAACCATCTAGTAGCGTTCTTCTCAAAGAAGTTGGACAAGGCTCAACAGAAGTGGCCTGCCCATGAGAAGGAATTGTTTGCGGTGGTCAAGGCACTCAAGGAGTGGCGACACTACCTTGGGAGACACTTCAAGGTTTACACGGACAATGTGCCAACGAAACACTTCTTGTCATAGCCTGACCTGAGAGGGAAACAGGGTCGGTGGGCCAATGCCTTGGCCGAGTTTGATTGCGAGATTCTGTACAAGCCTTGGAAGAGCAATATTGTGGTGGATGCGCTAAGTCGAAAAGCGAGCTTGAGATTGGCAATACTTGCGCAACAGCAACCTTTTGGGACGATGTGCGGACAGCATATGAGAACGATAGTCTAGCACAAGAAGTGTTGCTGAGGAATCTAGAGGCACAGGAAGCTCACCAGAGAGGTGAGCTGCCAACAGAAGAGAAAACGGGCTATGTGAAATGCAACGGACTCATCTATTACAAGCAAACAAGGGTGTATATTCCAGAAGGGGAACTAAGGAAGGTGGCCTTAGAAGAGTGTCATGATGGACCTCTTGTGGGACATGGTGGGGTTTAGATCCAAGCCGGACGTAGAACAAGGACAAGCACATAAATGGGAGCTAAACTATGCCTCAGATTGGTCGACCATGCCTGACCTACCCACTATCCCTACTATACATTTGGAACCCTCTACAACCCCCCCCTTGAGGAACGCATGTTTTGGGCTTTCACCCCAAGCCTCCCTTAGTACCAGGAGTTAGTCTCTGAGACAAGCTCGAAACTTACTAAATATAGAATGGCGCTAGATTGCGAATTTGGACACAGGACGAACACCATTGTGTTCAGGCCAATCTTTACATTCCGTAGATATGCCAAATGAGCAAATTTAGACACTTTCCATAATTAGCATTTGGGACCGAATTGAGACTAACACAAAGGGCATGATAGCAAGGGTGTTTGGCAGACACAGTAAGTTATCATCTAGTGAATATTGAGGGACCAAACTCAATATCGCAGGGGCTCTTGACACTAGCAAGTGCAAGCCAATGACAGGAGTTTCGCAAACCGGGCCGAGTATGCTTAGCAAGAAACACATAGAGTTTCTACCTTATGTTTATCCGATCTAAGTATACGGTCATTGACCAGTTTCTCAACTAGCTCAAATGGGAAACTGATAACGGGTCCAGCAATACCGACCTCCTGCCATCGTGGCAGTAAGGAAAGAATATCCGAAAGGACTAGCCGACAAGTAACTTTCGATACCCGAAGTCACATTTGCGACACTCATCAAGCAATTGCCCTTTTTCCAGTTAGCTTAAAGGGAGAGAGATAAAGTGCGCTACACCAATTTTATCACACGCTTAATAATGGACATCATGGCCACAACCATATCCTCACCTTTGTTTTTGAACAAAAGCAATAACAACATCAATCTCTATCAAAGTAAAACCATCTCCCATAAGAAGTGGAGTTGAAAGACATATAGTGAGAAGTGGAAAAAACAATATTTCATAATATTGTATTAGTTGAAGAGCATTGTGAAGGGTGGCTAAAGTGTATATATAAGTCCCATAAAAGTTTGACGAAATGTTAACCATAACATTCCCAACTTAATACACTCTAACATATTTAGCTTCTTATGAAGCAAGAAACTTCAAAAGTAAATGCCAAATTGCATCATTAACTCAGATGGCCATTGACAAAGACAATAAAATTATTGGAAAGCATTATTACAATTGTTAGTATGTCCAAATATATGCTTAAAGAAGTTCAGGAGAATGCTCCAATTTATGTGTGTGGCCTGCAATACTATCCTTTAAAGATACATGGGAAACTCACATAAATGCTTAACATTATTTTAAAAATGATAGATAGCAATCACCGTAAAGTGATCAAATCAATAGTACATATCATCCTTAAGATTCCCTCTGAAGAACTCTAGCTAAATACGAGGATTGGCAATAAAAGCAAAAGGAGTTGTGCCATATGCCATAAATGTTGTAATTAATTGAGTTTAATTATTCAATTACAATTATATAACATTAATTAATTGCACTAACTATTGCTCTAGAGTCAAAGGAGGAGGAGGTTATTGCTCTAACATGAAGATAAATGAAAAAGAAAAAAAAAACAAGAGAGAATAAATTGAAAAAGTTATAAAGAAAGTGAGATTTAAATGATGCAAAAGCAAGATCTAAACTAAAAGCACAAATCCAAATACTTTTTAAGGACAATCAAAGCTACCCCTTATTACGAGTGCATGGAATATATAAAAATATGCATATCAATTAGCCCAAAAACCCTAGTTTATATAAATGAATATGATCTAGATTGAAATCAATCCAATGGCTACCAAAATCCCACTACGTTAATATTAATATACATTGTACATTTGGACCTCACACAACTATATAAAGTTATTTATCTAATGCAATCTTCTTTAACTTTAATAATTAAATTAATAAAATTTTGTGATATAAATATTTTTATCAGTATAACTTATCGTATATGAACCTCCAAATTCTAGTTTATTTACTAACTTTAAACAATTTATAATTATTTATGCTAAATCATATGAATTCAAAACTTAAATCTTGTCAAAATGTTTGATTATACTTTTTTATGATAATAATATATATAATTATTATAATTTTAATTTTAATTTTATTATTCTAGCAAACCTTTGCAACTAACTGTAAGAAGTGTTTAAGATAATATTTTTCTCTTTTTTAGGAAAATTATAATTGGCATATTCCTTGACTTTAAATATTTATATTAAATGACATTTTATACTAGGAAATTTAATATATTTAGCTCATTTTACTTTTTTTGTTTGTTAAGCAAACCTGTGGGGCTGAGATGGTAGTGGATATACCCAGAATATGCTTGGATATTCTACCATCTAATGGTTGTTATTCATTTAGATTAATCTTGTATTTATAATTTGTAATTTATAAACATATTTATAATTTATAAAATTTCTTAATAAAGTTTAAGAAATTTTATTATACCAGTAATAGTATATTCTTTTTTATTCTACCATCTAATAATTTTGTGTTTATAAATTACATACATGCTTATAATTATAAACCTTATTTGATCAATTGGATTAATAAGTAGGAATAACACCACTATTAAGCAAACCAAGTGTTGCTACATGCAATGCGTAGCAAATTATTAATTTCTACTAGTTTGTTTTTATAATCAAATCACTACCGAAAAAATAAGTATATTGTTAGCTTGAGCACAAGAAAAGAACCAATCACCCCTGCCATGAAGTTTGGCTGGCTACTACTTTTCAGCAGTACCTTTGTACACCAGTTTCCTTGTTTGCTCACATATTTTCGTTTTTGTCGTGTTCTTAAGAAAAAAAATTCCAGCTAACAAAGAAGAACCAATTGGAAGCTTCCAACAGAAGATACGCTATAACGTTATCTGTATCAAAGGTTTATCTTCCAAAGGTTTAGTTTTGGTAATTATCTCTTCTGGAAGTTAAAATATTTGATGCTAAAGGCGAAAGTAAGAGCTAACACCAATACAAACAGTATATGGACAGCAGCAATTTCGCCCAATCTATCCTTATGGAAACCAAATCTCTGCTTGATGTAATCTCGCACAATTTGTTGGCCTTTGCCAGGAACATCCATCACTGTTCCTCTGTCCCCAAGTTGTGAAGTTATGAGACCATTGAGCGTCCACGCAACTGGGTTAGCATAGTAATACCATCTCCACCATATCGGGATTTTCTACACAAACAACAAAAACGAGATGAAAACTCAATTATAGCAGGAGGCAATCAGCCAACTTACTGGACGCGGGATCAAAAACCCCGAGAAGAGATTCCAAAAACCAAAGAATGCAGATGAAACCACTGCTGCCAGCTGATAGTTCGGCGTGAGAGACACCACCATCATCCCATAGAAGGTGAAGTATAAGAATGTGGAATACATGAAGAAGAAGAACCAAAAGAATTTATCTGGTGACCACTCGTATGCGATTGTGGAGTAAACTATGATGAGATAGATCGCAGTTTGGATGAAGACATAAGGAATCTCGATTGCTACCTGCGGTAACTTTGCATAAACCACGAGCTTAGTTTGAATATGTGTGACAAACCTGTGCTAAAGCGTATGGAATTGCTGAATACATCCCTGCTGCCCGTTCTCGATAGAATACAGTCCTCTCGACACCAACAACAGGTTGAGCTGCGGTGCAGTTGTTAACTCCGAGAAACAGGCAAGCAGCGTACATCGATCCCATCACGTTAAACAGCTCTTGCTCTGTTCGTCTGATCATACAAGAACTCTAGTGAGCTTTGGAATGTGAAAGAGATTTCCTTACATATTTTTCCCTTCTCGCCAGAAGATCGTTCCAAATAGTAGAGCGCATACTGTAGTGAAGAAGTAGCGAACCACGTTGTAATGAGGATTCTTCCAATAAGAACGATATTGCTTCCAGAAGCAAGCCTTGCATTGGATATAGAATGACTGAGAGTATTTGGTTGGAAAGTGGAGGTCGCTCGAGTCTGGCATTGGCTTGCTCAGTCTCTCCACAAGAGCATCGTTTTGCCTGGTGATAAAGCTGGAATCAAAACCATATCCAGAGAAGTGATGACTTACTTGTACAAAGAAGATTGTTCGTAGTACTTTGCGAAATCGATTCCAAGTCTGACTTCGACCTCCTCAGCAGTGACATCGAGCATCCAGGTTGCTGGGTTACTTCCATCTTCAATAGCTGGAACACCTTCCACGGCCTGAGAAAAACACGAAACATGTATCATTACATATGATACCCAGCATTTCATTAACGTACCTGGAAGAATTCTATAAGGTGGTGGGAGTGTCTACCGAGAGGTCCTGCATAGATCACTTGACCACCTCCTTTCATCAATAATAGCTGTGAAATCCAACCATGAACTCCCGCAATATCAGAGATGTATGATATTTATATACCTCGTCAAAAGACTCAAATATGTCGATGCTAGGCTGGTGAATGGTGCATACCACTGTTCTTCCCGTGTCCACAGTGTTACGAACAGTTCTCATCACAATGGCTGCAGCACGAGCGTCAAGTCCCGAAGTTGGCTCGTCCATAAAAATGATGGAAGGATTCGAAACAAGCTCCACGGCAATAGTCAGCCTCTTCCTTTGCTCCACCGAGAGTCCACTCACTCCAGGGAGACCAACAAGAGCGTTTCTGAGAGGCGTGAGTTCCACAAGAGACATCACCTCCTTCACAAACATCTGTTACAACAAAACGAAGACGCAAGCATTTAGAACAAGGAGAGAGCTAACAAGTTTCGCAAGGATTACCGTACCAGTCTCGTTTGTTTGTCAACTTCTTTCGGAAGCCGCAACCATGACGAGTAAATGAGAGATTCTTCAACTGTCACATTTGGAGAATGGATATCAGTCTGCTCGCAGTAGCCGGAGATTCGAGCAAAAGTGTCTTGCTTCTTTGGATAGCCATTGATGCTAATTTCGCCTTCAATGTAGCCACCAGTCTTACGACCAGCAAGAACATCCATTAGAGTCGTCTTCCCCGCTCCACTTACGCCAACTAGTGCTGTGAGAACTCCAGGCCTGAAAGCCCCGCTCACCTCCTTGAGAAGCTGAAGCCTGTCCAGAGTTTCTCCTTGTGCTTTCATCTCCTGCGAAGTTACAAAACCAAGCCTGTCAGTGAGGATTGTAAACGTGAAGCTAAAACCGACCTTAGGCATGTCAACAAAGTAGCTGACTTTGTGGAAAGCTATGGACAGTGGCTGGAAAGGTAGCACCATGCCTGTTTTTACATCTCCAGATTCGGGGTCCCCTGAGGAAATAATGGCAGACTTTGAATATGGAAATCAATTTGAGAACAATACCATTTGAATGAAAACCAAATGATTTTCTAAAACTCTGGGATGACTTCTCCTGAGAGCTAGAGTTCACAGCTTGTCCGGTCTTGGTTTTGTGTTTCTCGTTCAATGTTTCCTCAGAAAGAATCACCGATGGTTTTCCAAAAGCTGTGAAACCAGAAGTTGAGCTACTTGAAAGTAAAGGATTATAATCTTACGCTTGAGAACCGTTAACGCTATAGTGAAAAAGATGTTAAAGAAAATCGCAAACCCGACAAGGGCGCCAATTCCAATCCAAAACCAAGAAGGATCTGGAAAAATCCCTCGAGCCTTGAGCACAATTGTACCGACACTTTCGGTGGAATTTGGTGCAAGCTGCAGTAGAAATTCATAGAGTAAGAGATTAAAAAAGAAAGAATGGTGAAAATTTTACCACTCGCCATCTTGGGGCCGTGAACTCATTAACGGCAATAGCGTTTTGTGCGTACATCAGAGGCGATGACCAATAAGCCCAGATCCACCACGGATGAATAGCATCTATACCAAACTTTAGTGTCCATAAGAAAACAAGGTTTGTCTTCAACTTACTTCGAGAGATGACAAAACCACCAAGAATGAAGACGAGTACCAGCGAAAAGGAACCAAAAGTATTTGCAACGAGCATAGTTCTTCCCAAAGATGCCATGAAACGAAATCCAGACATTGCCATGTTGTGAAGCGTGAAGAGCAACAAAAACTGGCGAAAGAATCTACATGTTTTCAACCACTCAGGGAAAGATAATGCTCAAGAGGAAACATAAGTTCTTACCTTCCAACCTCTGGAGCATAGCCGATAACCCAGTAAGTTAGGAACACCCAAATCGCAGTCTCAAGCAGCGAGAAGGGCATTCTCATGATCCAAGCCGGAACGGAAAATGCCCAAGACGGATAGAGCAAGTTCCGTTGCTTGTAAAATATTGGTAACCTGTTAATGGTCATTGCGAGCTCCGCAAAACCATTAAACATGATGACAACGATCGAGTAGAAAAGAGAGGAAACCAGAATAGTTCCGTCTGTGACAGAAATGTGATGCTGCGTTCGCAAGAACACGGTCATACTCACGGTCGCCATCACCAAAATCTGCAAGGAAGAACAATCATAAAATCATAGTTAGAACTTCGCTTAAAGAAAAAGAGAATAGTACACACAAACCTGTGTGGTTTTAAAAGCATAGATAAAAGCATTGCGTTTCATGAGAAGAACTTCTTTCGCAACGCAAGCTTGAAAGATGTTCCAGCTGGTTGACCCATATTGCTTTGTCACCAAAGCAGCAGGATTGCTCTTGGACTTGTCGTACGGCACTTTGAGTTCTCTCGCTAGATCCTGGCCAATATGATGCCTTGAGAAAGCTAGCGTGAAGTCTTCCACAGAAACATATCTATACTCTCGACTTGAATCCATCCAGTACTGTTCCTGGTCCTTTCTTGATATCACCTGACATTAAGAGCAAGTTTGAGATCGTTCCTTTCTTTTTCTATGAATTTACCTCCTGGAGAAAGTCTGCCACGCCTTTTCTTTCAGGACACTTGAATCCCAGCGAATAAAAGAAATCGAGAATCATGTTGCAGGGTCCTTGATAGATTATACGCCCCTCGGCAAGCAATATAAGATCGTCGAAGAGATTGTAAACCTCTGGAGCCGGCTGGAGAAGCGAGACAATGATGGTGTAGTCGGCATTGTGCACAGTTTGCCTCAAATGCTTGACAATTTGGTACGTAGTGGAGCTGTCTAGGCCTGTCGAGATCTCATCCATGAACAAAGCTTTTGCTGGTCCAACAAGAACTTCTCCTGACAGAGTAAACAAAGTCAGTACTGCTTAGAACTGTCTTGAGAGACTTTTACTTACCTGTTGTAAGTCGTTTCTTCTGCCCACCAGAAATTCCGCGACGCATTTGATCGCCAACTAGCGTGTCAGCGCATATGTCGAGTCCTAAAACCTGTGGCCCCGGACATAAAACTTAAAAGTAAATGTGACGACATAGTATATAGATCAGGAACTTTACCTTGAGAACGTAGTCCGTCCGAATGTTTCGTTCCTGTCCTTCCAAAGCCAAAGCCTGACACGAAAGAGAATTAATAAATCCGACATAGAAGAACTATAATCACGATAAACATTCTCAGCTCTCAGCTCTTACCTTCATAAAAGCGTCAATATCAGGGTCTGGTTTGATTCCAGCAGCCTTCTCACGTCTACAGAGCTCCGCAAGCATATCTAAAGAGCAAACAAAAGAGCTCGTCAGTGTCAAGCTCGTCAAACATCGATCTTACCATATCGTGATCCAACACCTTGACACCGACAAGAAAAGTCCAGGGTCTCTCGGACAGTAAGCTCCGGGGTGTGAAGGTCAGTCTGGCTGATATATCCCGACGTCCTGTGTGGCACAAACTCGCTAAACTCGCATCCATTGTATGTAACGTTCCCTGAAACCTGAAAAGCTTGTGTGTCCAACAAATATCCAAAAGAACCAAAAAAAAATAGTATTACCCGGAGGTCGTGATCTAACTTTCCGCATAGTGCCTTTAAGAAAGTTGTCTTTCCCGAGCCGGGAGGTCCCAGAAGTAAAGTCAGCCTGGAAAAAAATCCAGAAAAATGGGAAGAAGCAAATGTTTCAACAAGGATTGCGTGATCTAATTAGCACCTGCACGGCTTGATGATGCCAGTAACGTTGTCAAGGATGGTGAGCACTCGTTTCTTAGTAGGAGATAGCCGAAGCGATCCAAAGAGCTCCTGGAATTCCGGCCAAGGACAAAGATATCAAACACAGAGTCAACTTGGAGAAGGAAGAGCAGAGGAAAGATTCTCAGCTTATCATACTTCGATCGTGTTGATGGTGTAGTTGTAGAGCGTGGGGAGAGCCCGGCCTCCAACATAGACATCAGCATCAACATGTAAATCCTGGAAGCGAACTTCGATCTTGGGTAGATCGATCTCCACTCTAGAACAAAACAAAAAACCAAAACAATCGAAAGAAAGAAATGAGAAAGATCCAAGCACATCGTAGGCTCACAATGAAAACTGGATATAAGAGAGGGGAGGGATGAGTCTCCAAGATCAAGAGAGAAGGATTTCCCAAGCAGGCAAGAAAAGGGAGAAAGAATGGATACTTGTCAATGCGATCCCGCAGCTTCCGCAAGAATCGCTCGTTGTCGAGCGCCACTTGCTCCATAATCCGCTGCTTGTACGCGATCCCCAGCTTGGCCACATCCACCGCCTCGAAATCCTTCTCCCCGCCATCGCCCCGGACCAGCGCCGTGCGCATTCGATCCATGCTCGGCAGCTTCTGAAGCGCGATCCACTTGAGCGTCGCCTCATCCTCGGCCCGCCGCGAATCGCTCGACGGCCGCCCAAACACCCTCTCCTCCCACGTATTCTCGCTCAAGGAAATCCTCCCCTCGCCCTCCACCACGCCGCTAGATCCCCCAAGCTCCGCCATGGAGGGAAAGAACCCCGATCGATCGACCGCGGCGATCGACGAGCCCGAAATATTTCGAGGCCGATCTAAGAGAAATCCGCGACCATCCCTAGCCCCGATCGGCCAGCATTTGGAATCGCGAAGGAAGGAGAGAAGCGAAGTGTCATCCGGGTCGATATCAACACTCACATGATTTTTCTCATAACCTAGATTTAAATTATGGGCTCCAAACTTCCACACTCTCTCTCAATGCTACAATTCGAAGAACCTTGCGAGGAACCATCGGAATATTTTCCTCGCTACAGAACACAATTTTCTCCACGCAACTTATCAAAATCACCAAAACACGTGGTGATTTTCTTTGTGACAATGCGGTGTCACTCACTCAATTTTAATACAAACCTTGTGTAAGGAAAAATCTTGTTTATGCATTCACAGTCAACTGTGGAGTGATCCGATAGAATTTTGTTCCAAGCTTGGATGGTCCAACCAAGGGACTGTATCAGATATGAATCTATTCCTCCACAAAAGCTCTTCACTTTGATTGGAAGGTCTCTAATCTCTCTTGCGACTCCCATCTCCTCCACCATTTGGAAAGGACTGATTCTCGTACGATGATGTTCGGGAACTTTAAAAAGTTGAGAAGTGGGCATTATGGTGCTCATCGACGTGCAAAGTGGGAAATTCTCGCTCGCAGACGTCTCTTTTGCAAATTCGCTGGTACAATTTTACGGAAAGCGTGGGGAGCTCGACGCAGCTTTTGCGGTTTTCACTGACATTCGGAAAAAGAGCACACTGTCATGGAATCTTATAATGTCGGCATATGCCCATAGAGGGCATATGCAAAAGGCGGAGGTAATGTTTGAAGCCATGCCGTACCCAAATATCGCGTCGTGGACGACGATTCTTGCAGGGTATGGCCGAATCGGCCATGTCGATCATGCATTTTCCATATTTCAGAAAATGCCACAAAAGAACGTTGTAACATGGAATGCCATGATTTCAGCATTTGCCATGAACGGGCATTTGCAAGATGCACTTGAGTGTTTTGAAAAGATGCTCCTAGAAGGAACTGGACCCAGCGTTTCCAGTTTCATAAGTTTAGGTTCCGAATCTCTGCATCATCACTTTATAACTATGATCCAAACCGTTGCCAATGATTGTGGACTGATCTCGAGTCCTCAAATCGCAACATCTCTAATCACATGGCTCACAAAAACAGGAAGTTTCAATCAAGCCCAAGAGGTCTACAACAAAGTTCCTTTGCACAAAAGAGACACAATCCTTCGCACTGCTATGATCTCTGCAAATGCCCAGGCCGGGCATCTGTGCCAAGCGGAGGAAATATTCCAAAACATCGCCGTCAAGGATTCCGCGGCGTGGAACGTGATGATCTCCGCATACTCCACAAACAGCGAGCTCCCCAAATCAGTAGCAGCATTTAATTCCGCTCCACAAAAAAATGTGGTTGCCTGGTCCGCCATGATCTCCGCATATGCCCGTCACGGCCTCCACTCGGACGCCGTGCGAACGTTTTCCACGATGGATCTCGAAGGCGTCCGCCCAAACAAGATCACATTTTTAAACGTCTTGGATGCCTGCGGATCCGCGTCACTGCTCCCAATGGCCAAGCTCATTTGCTCCGAGGCCGCCAGCTTGGGCCTGGACGAAGACGTGAGCGTCGGCAGCGCGATTGTCTCGGCCTTTGGAAAGTGTTCCACTCTGGAAGCAACTCTCGAGGCCTTCCAATCGATCCGCCACACGAACAGCGTTGTCCCCTGGACAGCCGTGATCACCGCGGCTGCTCGAGCTGCGGATTGGGATGCGTGCCTGGGCCTGTTTCGAGACATGATCTCGGAAGGCGTGATGCCAAACCAAGTCACTTTCCGCAGCGTTTTGTGTGCCTCGAGTCGTCGCGGGGAGCTGGCCACCGCCTTGGATCACTGCTCATCGATGGCGGCTGATTTCGACGTTGAGATGGCCGAGGAGCATTACGTCTGCGTTGTTGACATGCTTGCCAGGGCCCGAATCCCGGGGGACTGTCGCGACTTGATGCAGCATATGCCCTTCCAGCCAGGGGTTGTCGCGTGGACCAACTTGCTGCTCAGCTCAGGCCACCATCACCAGCTAGACGCCGCCAAAAAAGTAGCTCAGCTAGATTCCAAACTCGCCATACCGTATGTTCTTTGGTCGAATGCTCGCGCTCGAGAGAGCTGAAAAACAAACGACCCTTTCCACGTAAATGCGTAGACCAAGATTGCGTTACAAAGTGAAGCGTACATACCGAGATTCTCTCTTTTTCTCTCTCTCATTTGTGGTGCTTAATCTGGCAGAGCAGTGCCTCGTTCCAAGTTGTTCTTGATCTCGACAGTGTACTTGCCAAACGCTCTCTCGATCTTGCGGTTGAAATGTTCGTTTCTCTCGTTGATGGAGTCGATGTCTTTTTCCTCGTGGTACTTGCGTCTCCGGCTGAAGTCCTTCCGCTTGGAAATCCTCCCTTCGAGCTCTTGGACCATCCTATCGACGAATTCCTCCGGGACAGCGGGAGTCTGAAACAACAGCACGTTGAGCTAGGCTGGGACTTGCAGAAAATGATTGATCGCTACCTTCCCGTATTGTAGGCTGGTCTCGTTACAGTAGAAGTCGGGGTCATTATCTCGGACTTTCGTGTACTCCTCCACTGTATTCGGGATTGTCTTCGCCCGCTTCTTGTAGGCGTTATACAAGGACTTCTGATTGAAGACTACAGAAACAACAAAAGAAGAAAGATATTAGGATACATAGTTCGATCCGAAACGCAATTGACTTATTACCATCCCATCCAAAAGGAGCAGGATTCTTGTCACGCTTTTTATACTTCTCTTCGGCGGCTTCTTGTGTGTCCAGCATGTACATCTTCGATTTGTCAATCCCACTAAACTCCAGGCGCTTCCCAGCTTGCTTTTGCTTCTCCTCGAACCACTTTTGCTTGGAGACGCCTCTCTCTTCTTTGGGAGCGTCCTGCTTCTTCCTCTCGGCCATCATGGCTTGCTCATTCTTCTTTCGAGCTTCGTCCTAGCACCACCAACAAAGAACGTAAGTTCTAGTTTCTAACCAAAGTAAGAAAATACAAAATACCATTTTCCGCTGTAGCAGCCTCAGCTTCTTTTGCCGCTCATCCAAGCCAGATTCGTCCTCGATTAGAGGAGGAACTGGAACTGGAGCTTCTTTTTCTTCTTCAACCTCTGGCGCTTGTTCTTTCTCGTCTTCTACAGGCCCCGCATTCGGCAATTCCTCGGTCACTGCAAAAAAATTCGCAAAATCTCTACCGGAAGAACGCGAGAGAATGATCCTTACCTGTGGCGCGCGCTTCGGCGATCTTCCGGAAGCAGTATTGCGAGCACTCGTGATACGGATTGGACGCGTTGATGCAGGCGGGATGGACCCGGCTCTCCTTCTCCATATCTAAAAACCCTAAAAATCTGAAGAACCCTAAATCTGGGCAAGGATGCTTATGTGCGTCCTTTTCGCGAATTCCTCCGGCAATGTGCTGCTCGAGAGGTAAGGCGTGATCGTTCTGAGCTCAATCTGAGAGATCTGGCGCCAGATTTCATGGAGTTCCCGGCGAGGAGCGCCTTCACTGGAGATCATTCCTGGTGAAGCTCGGCACGGATAATCTCAAGGGCGCTCGCGACGAGGAATCCTTTGTGGCGTCTCACAAGTAAGAATGTAGCTTGATTTTCCTTTCTCGCATCAAATCCATCACGCCTTTCTTCTTAGTCCAGATCCGTCCATATCACTTACACTGTGATGGGAGAGATATGGATCTTCACGGTGGGAAAGGATGAATACGACGAACTTACGTGTAAGATTCTAGAGATCTCTTCTCTCTCACACACACATTTTCGCGTGAACTTTGCAGTGGTGGAAGTTCTATTCTCGATCACTTCCTCCGTGAAAGATGTGTGCAAGAAAATCCCGACTGAGCGAGTTTTTCTAGACAAGTACGGGAAGATTTGCTTGTGCCTGGACGAGATCGTCTCCCAGGTAGGCTTATTGATCAATTCGCAAAAGGAGTATCCTCGTTTTTCACGTTTTTTTCCTTGTAGGGAATGCTAGAACACACTGACAAAGATCGCATACGAAGGCTCATCAGGCTCAAGCCTATAGCTGAGAGCTAAAAGACTAGCCTAGCTCGAAATCTATATTGATTGATTTCTCCCAGATCTTATGAGTGTCAACAATGGTCGAGGAAATCTTCGTTTGTATTTTCTGCGAAGAATGTAGTTCTTTGTTACATTCGATCAATTTTTACAGCTTGTTCATGGAAGAAGACTATCTTAAAATCCTGTTCTTTGAATGTGTAACACCAAGTTTGTTTGTTCGCATGGATGTCCATCTTGTTTTTGTTATAGTGTTCTCAGCAAGAACACGGAATTTTCAAGTCAGTGAGACGAGAATTTTTCGATATCCGCAAGAAAAAAACAGATAAACGAACAAGCAAAGTTAGTAGCTATCAAAAACTTCAAAGAGATTTGCTTGCCAGACTGATTTCGCCTTTAAGCACGCAAACTTTTTTCACGATTTGTGTGCGGTGAATTGCAAGGAATATGAAAGAGCATTCTCATTCTGCGAACCTGGAAGCTGGAGTTTATAGAGCACGGCTGACAGTTTTGCAACGATTTTATGCTAGTCTGGCCAGCCAAATCTCACGGTTCGAGTTCTTCACATCCAGAACAGGCGACTTTACCAGCTCCAAACATCATTTTTGAGCGGGAGTGGCCATCTTCAGATGCAGGTGAAAAAACCACAATGATTTGATGAGATCTTTGCAGATTGTAGATTATTCTCTACAATAGTTAAGAGAACGTTCTCTATTGGGTCCTCCAGTGTATTTAACTGGATGCATTGAGCGTTTTTTGTTTTTTCCTAAGTTTACCAATGTTCTAATTTTCTTTGCACTTTATATGCAGGTGAATTCTACTTTACAAACACAGTCTAGGATGCGCATGTTGTAAACGACTCCATAAGACTGATATTCACAAAGGTACATTTGAGATTTTGCAGATTATTATATTAATTATATATTATTCTTTGTGCTGCTGCGATCAGCTAAATACACTGGAAGAAAGTGGAGAGATTCTTTCATAGTTTTTCTTTTCTGGCAACCATTTTTTTCAACACCTTTTTCTCTTGGCCTTTTAGTGAGAGGTTCATTTCCATATGATCTTGAGAGCATAAAAAAGTTGCGAGATTCCCTTGCAATAGATGGTGGTCACAGTGGGATGCCTCACTTTATAGCTGAGGCATCATGTCTTTTCTATCAAAGGATCTATGGCAAATATTGTTTTTCATCTTCATGAATCCTAGATCTAGTTGATTTAACAGTCAAAGTTCATTTGCTTGGTTTGTCTGAGCCATGCAATCTAATCTTTTCTCAAAACTCCAGTCACATTTACATGTTTATACTATGATTATTGGTAGCTCTAGATTTATCATTGATTTTTCCCAAGATGATCTACAACACATCTTTGCTGATTGCACAACCATTTTTGACACTGAGCCCACATTTGTCATCCTTTATAACCTTTTTCCATCTTCATATATTCACCTTCCAATACATTCATACTTACCAACAATCCTCTTTTTGAATAGTTTTTAAAATCTTTACTTCTATCATGCTTTTTTTTTTCAACCCAGCTGGACAATGTTTTAAAAATACTCCTCCTATGTTGACTCATTTTCTCAGAATTTACTAATCAACAATTACAATAAAGATTCTTAACATTCTCCATGTGGAGGTGTTTATTTATTTAGTCATGTGTTCATTTCTAAAGAAAATGAGCTCTATAGCATGCTTGAGGAGGATTTTCAACATCTGAAATAAATCAAAATCTAGTAAACAAGTAGATGGTGATAAATATTTTTGAGAGTACAGTGTAGTATATGTGGGGTTTACCTTTATATTCTATGGTGATTTATTATAGAATAACCATGAAGTGGAACCTAAACCCTCCACATGCCATGTGTCACATGCCACATGTCAAAAGGACAGTAGAGTAGAACTTAAATTTCAGATGCAAAATAAGGACATGCATATAAACAAGAGATAGAATATGCCTCAAGTTGGTCAATTATGCCCAACCTACCCACTATCACTATTATATATTTGGGATATATACAAACCCCCTCTAGGAACACACTCTTTGGGCTTTCACCCTTAGTACCAAGAGTTAAACTTGAAACCTACTAAATATAGAATGTTCTTAGATTGCAAATTTAGACACAAGATAAACACTATTGTGTTTAGAATAATCTCTTTCTGAAGATATGCCAAATAAGCAAATTTAGACACTTTCCATAAATAGCATTTGGGACCGGAATGAGACTAACACAAAGAGCATAATAGCAAAGGTGTTTGGCAAACACAGTAAGTTATCATCTAGTAATATTGAAGGATTAGTTTTAATATGTAACAGTTCTTGTCAAGCCAGTGTAAGATAGAGCAAAAGAGAATTAATAGCCGAGCCAAGTATGCTCAACAAAAAATACATAAGAGTTTCTATTTTATGTCCATCTGGCTAAGTACAGATCCTAAGCCCAGTTTACTAACACTTGAACAAAAAGGACTGATAAAAGGATTGATAAAGGGTCTAACAATATGAACTTTTTGCCGTCATGGCAGTAACGAAAAAATATCCGAAAGTGATACCCACAATTATATTTATGACACTCTCCCCCCCTTAGGGAAGATTGATGTTTTCATCAATGCATACTCAACTCTAAACCACTGCCAAGGACACAACTCCAAAAAAAAGTTTATGGCAATCATATTATATGAGAAATGCACTAACTTAAATGAGTTAGGGTAATTTCTTTGTCCAAAGCAAATGCACTACCAACTCAAACACCTTTTGGCCATCACTGACAAGGAAATGACTAATTGAATCAGCCACCCTTGCTACTTCATATGTCACCCAGCTTACAAAAGTGTGATACACCCCTGCCTGTAAGGACATAAAGAGAAAAGCCAGAGGCCCCAACCCTCATGAATAAAGAAACAAAACTTGTCGGTAATCGATAGACTACTGTAAATAGGTAGTTAAAGTTTTTACATGATCACGCTCTTTTAACGAAATAAGGAACATTGATAGAGAGACAGATGATGTGATCAGTTGACAATAGCTACCCCATGACTAAAGATTTCATAATGCACATAAAGTGCCAAAGCCAGTTTGTCTATACTGGCCCAAACACAAAGATCAATAAATGGACAATATCAAAGTCAAAGACAATGATATCTAAGAGAATTAATTATCAGTGAATAAAGCTTATATTAGAACACAAAAGCATTCCAAGTAAGTTATCATCTGATAAACTAGTATTAGAGTATAGGAACCACCAAGATTATCATAACCGGAAAATATAAGATTTATCATCAAACAAAATTAAATATCTGATGTATCATCAAGAAAATTCAATGATAAATCTTAACTATCAAAGATTACAGATAGCATGTTCAGCAACTTATGAAAAATAACTTCAAAGAACACAAAGTATCATTAATTAGCAAGTAAAATGCTCGCGAATGTATCATTTGAAAGAAATAACATCCTAATCTATCAGAACCAACTCGAGCAATAATCAACAAAATAGAATGAATGTAGCAAGACCAATAAACACTCATTTATGTTAACTATTGTACTAGCCAGCTTAAATAAATCTCAGTCAATAATACGAAGGAACTCAAGTTGTTTAAGCAAAAACTAATAACATCCTACTAATATCTCAAACTGAAAAGACCAATCCAGAGTAAACTATAAAGAACTTGTGGTAATGCAAAAATCTATAATCATCCCATCAATAGAGAAATCATTGAAGAAAGAATTCACCATCCTAAAAGCCAACAAAGCATTCTATATTAACAATAATCAAGTAAAATCTTTGACAAAGATGATCAACTAACCTGGATAATAGTCAATCATCACTAATGATTGCCAAATGTAAATACTAACTTCAACATCAAATTTATGAGTTAGAATGCTTTCCCTAAAAAATTTTAACAAATGGAACAATGAGCATAAAAACTCAAGGAACCAAAAGTTTGAAAAAGCATATAGCCAAGTCTCACCAAATAATGATCACAAGTTTCATATGAACTAATGTCAATGCCAAAGAAGAAATCATAGTATAAATCACAATATCCTTTCAACACATCTATAAGCTAAACATTATAATACAAAGTTAATGAAAAGCATTTCTACATTAATCTAAAAAGTAAACATAACAAAGTTATGCTTAACGAGTGACCACCAAATTAATCCTCCATGAATCCATCTTCTATAGTAAGACATAATTCATTTCATAACAAACATAAGAAGTAATATTAATGATCAATATATCCTCAACTCAAATCCAATAAAGAACTAATATCTTTAATATCAATCACTAACTCTTCCTCTTGTAAAGTTAGCATAGTCCATGACTTTAAGGAAAACCTCAACACTTAACCCTTACTAAACAATCTTGTCTAGAACACAACTAATTCAAACTTGCCACTTAGTTTATTTGAATGTTAATATAGTTGTGTTAGCTAACAATTGCATGGATGCCAAAAACACAAAGCTTCAGCTCAAATACCAACATTATTTGCATTGAGACTAATAAATCTCAATATCAATTCTATGGAGAGATATTTCATTTCACTCAAATATCAACAACAATAATATTAATGATAGGGCATCACTTTAATGCCATCAATACCAGAACAAAGCTAGAAAAAAGCAATAATGAATCACCACTCAAAACTCTTTAGCAACTAAGCTAACCAAAGTCAAAGATACTTATTTAGTATCTGAGACTAAACCTGCAGCAAAACTTAGTTAACACATTATCAATGAGTGATTCACCACATTCAAAACCTAATAAAATCTAACACCATAAAATAAACATAACTAAATGATATTGATAAAGGTAGAGTTGACATGCCAACATGGAAAAACCATGCAAGTTTAAGGACACAATCCTCTACAACACCATTCTGTAAAGTAAACCCATCATTAATAAATCTTCATTGAGTGAAGCAAATGTCCATAATCTTTTGACAAAATCTACAAGCAATCACTAGTTACAAAGTAACGAATAATCACTCTTCAATTTGTCTTTTACAAGACCCAAATACTAAATTTATGCCATTGAATCATATACTTGTCCAACCTAAATGTAACACCCTATATACATGAATAAGCATGAACTAAATTGCCACTCGAATCCAACTCAATTGCAATAAGCTCATTAATGCACATAACCAATAGTTCTGAGCATGCTTTA